ATCATCCTCATCTGCTTGTAAGTAGGTAATCTAGTATATTATTCGTGGCACTAATCTCTAATTTACCTCACATTAAAGAAACACTATAGTCCCCAGAACCACTGCACCTTAATGTAGTGGTCCTGGTGTCTATAACCTGTCCCTGCAGGCCTTTTAATGTAAACACAGCGGCACTGCAGCACTAGCGTTAGTTAACATGGCAGGTCATATGGGTGGGGCATTGCGATGTCACGGGGGGGAGGAGGGGGGCGTCAAACTTTACTTTTGCCTAGGGCGGCAAAAATCCTTGCACCGGCCCTGTCTGCACTGCATATCCTGTTAACACCTTGTTGGGAAGTGTTTGTTTAATCAAGTAACACCCTTTGACCAGCTAATGCCAAATGTGCTTTAAGTTCTTTGAATATGCAATTGACAGGACATGACTGTATTATGTGAAGACAACCCCTTTTGGATGTGTACAGAATTTTGTTATAAGATCTGTGTTCTCCCCATTAAAATTAGGTGTAGTATTCTGCCATACACTTGTGTGAATGAGTACTGCCCTCCGAGCTCGTATTTCTGCTGTGTCCATTCCTTGTCTTCAGACCTGAGAGAAAACATTGCTGTCTGCTGAATTTAAAACACAACAATATGGTGTCAGAAGTGGAGAGAGAATCCAAATCGGGTAAGAACATTTTGTTTTATTTTTGTGTTCTTTGCCCTGTTTGGATTCTCTGAACAAAATTTTGTGGTTGCAGAAAAGTAATGTTTTCTTGTTTTTGTTTTGCCTTTCTTTTTGTTTTTGTTATAAGTATGGGTTAGAGTCCCATGATAAGTATGGGTTAGAGTCCCATGATAAGTATGGGTTAGAGTCCCATGATAAGTATGGGTTAGAGTCCCATGATAAGTATGGGTTAGAGTCCCATGATAAGTATGGGTTAGAGTCCCATGATAAGTATGGGTTAGAGTCCCATGATAAGTATGGGTTAGAGTCCCATGATAAGTTTGGGTTAGAGTCCCATGATAAGTATGGGTTAGAGTCCCATGATAAGTATGGGTTAGAGTCCCATGATAATACATGTAATGGGTTAGAGTCCCATGATAAGTATGGGTTAGAGTCCCATGATAAGGGTTAGAGTCCCATGATAAGTATGGGTTAGAGTCCCATGATAAGTATGGGTTAGAGTCCCATGATAAGTATGGGTTAGAGTCCCATGTTAAGTATGGGTTAGAGTCCCATGATAAGTATGGGTTAGAGTCCCATGATAAGTTGTATAAGAGAAACATTTATATTTTCTGGGTTAAAGTCCCATTTTATCGGTAAGTTGTATATAGTGGGTATAGCAGTCCCACTGAGTGACCACATTTAGTCACTATATTGAATGCACAGTTTGGACACAGTAAAAATAAATCTTATTTTTGTTTATTGCAGCGCTGCATGTATAGTAGTATTGTTTAAAAAGTGTGCATTGCTTATATATAAAGTTTTATATATTGTAAAGTGTTATCTGTGTGAAGTTGGAAATGGGCTCCAGTAATGGTAAAAAAAAAAAATGAAAAAAAAAAATTCCCAACAAAATTCTGTAAAATGTAAATCTAAAGATGTCCCTAATAGTGCTGCGTCACGTACTCCCCAAGTCAAATCTCAGGGTCCTCGATTAGGCCAAACTCCATGTCAGTTTGTTCAAGAAACTATTGGAAATTACTATGCTGAGCCATTTTGTACAAATTTAGTTGCATGGTCAGATAATTTTGATACAATGATTTGTAATCCATGGCCAAGAAAGGGTTCTTTTAGTGATTTTCATTTGCAAATGCTGAAAGGTATGTGTATTAAAGGTTTTAAAAAGTGGGGTCCAGGTGGAGATCCAAAATGGGATAAAAAGTATATGCATAATGCAGCTACAGGATGGTTAAAGTGTGCTCAGTTATGGTTTGTTCCTGATCAGACTACAAAGTATGTTCAGGCCTCTGCAGCACCTCCTGCTTATGTGCTTTTTGTTGTACCATTATATCCCAGTTTGGATGAATTAAAAAAAGATTTTTCGGAATATTGATACTGATGAAATTTTTATGGCGATTGGTAGAGGGAAAAGGCATGTTGGATAGATGGTTGTGAATCCTTCTGCAATGGTGAGATCCACTGCAGAAAATGTTGATGTTGGTATGAAAAATGAGAAAGTGACTAGAAAGTCTGTGGATGTTAGTGCAGGGAATAAGCATGTTGATAGTGTTTTAGTGGTGGATGAGGGTTATAAGAGTCATGGTGTACTAGTTCCCAGTCATGTGTCTGCTTCTGCATATCCTTTTGTAGTTGCTGGTGAGACTGTTATAATTAAGCTTCCTTCTGGATCACATTTGGTGTCTCTTAGGACTCAGTGTCCTGATCCGTTTAGGCTTCCAGAAGGCGCTATTACTTATTTAAAAAGAGTAACAATGGAGCAACAATTTGGAGGGGCAGATTTTGGTATTTTTAGTGTCTGTTGTTTTTAAATATGCTGATATTTCACCAACAGAAATGGCTCTTAATTTGGACACTAAACATGATAGACCTGGTACTGATGTAGGTTGGTTCTGTGTATTTCTGGGCTGAGCAAGATTTTGTGTCAGAGTTTTGAAATCAGTTATTGGTTTATTTTCCTTTGTGGTTTTGCAGTTGTACAAATACCTAATAGTGTAATAACTGTAGGTTCTTTACCTTTTGTCTCAGCGCAGGCGGAGTTGATTGCTCTTACACAAGCTTGTATTGCTTTTAAAGATCAAGATGTGACTATTTATACTGATTTGAGATATGCCTTTGGAGTGGTTCATGATTTTGGTGTCATTTGGCAGGCTAGAGGTTTTGTTGCAGCTGATGGTCGAACTGTTTCTCATTTTGCATTAATTGATGGATTATTGAGGGCCATACTGTTACCTACATCTTTAGCTATTGTGAAGTGCAAGGGCTATGATACAGATCACTCCATGGTCAAGGATGGTAATGATTTTGCAGATTTGGTGGCGAAAAGGGCGGCTGCCTCTTTTCCCTTATGGCCAGATTACAGTACTGTTTCTTGTGACCAGGTCTTAACTGCATATAGCCACTCATACTGATGACATTGATATTCTTTCTATGCAGGCTGCATCATCTTCGGATGACTTAGCTTACTAGAGTAAACATTTTGTTACACCTGATGCAAATTCTGGTATCCTCAAAGAGCCTAAAGGTTGCATAGCAATCCCTCAAGCTTCTTCAGTGTTACTCGTCCGACAGTTCCATGGCTATGGACATGTCGGACGAAGAGGGGTATTGGCTATGCTAAATTAACTATTTGTAATTAACAGGTTAGATCAGACCGTTACCAATATTTTATCCAGGTGCTTAACATGTGCAAGAGTTAATACTACCATACCACAGTTACCTCCAGTGGAAGGTCCAATGTTAAATTTACAAACTGACTTCATGCATATGACAGTGGCAAAAAGGTGGACTTAAGTATTTACTTGTATTGTAGACATGTTTTGGCTGCCCAGTTATGATTAATAGTAATAAAGGAACTTCTTTCACTTCAGCAGTTACACAGCAGGTTTGTGAAATGTTGAGTATAGATTGAAAATTTCATATACCCTATCACCCTCAGTCATCAGGGCAAGTAGAAAAGATAAATAGAACGATCAATGAGAAATTGACAAAAGGAGGCTTGGGTAGCACACGCAATTGGCCAGACAATTTGCCAGCAGTTTTAGCTGAGATCAGAATGACCCGTAGTTCCACTACGGGTTATTCACCATTTGAAATATTAATGGGGAGACCTTTTCCAACTACATGATGTAAGTCCAAAGGTGCTCCGATGGTGAGCGGAGACCTAAATGTTGTTATATGTATTGAACCTTGTAGAAAAATTGAATGGCATCTATGGTGATTTGTCTCTCTCTTCCTCATCCTTCAGGTACAACCACACATCCTTTCAGGCCTGGAGACAAAGTCTTGGTGAAGACCTTCTTCAAATCCGGAACCTCTGATCCACCATACAGCCCTCTGACAACCGTTGTTGCCATCACCAGAAGAGCCGTTCTGACCGAGGAGAACCAGAAGTGGATTCATGCAAGCAGATTAAAAAGATGTCCCATCAAGCAGTCTGGATATTCCAAGCAAAGAAGATCAACCTCAGACTGATCCAGAATGAACAATAGTGCTCGGTGCAACCTAATTATTCTTTTTTCCATGGGACTTGGTTATGCGCTGATTAATATTATTTGATCCCAAAGAACAGTGATCGTAAAATATGTTAGTAATATATTTCACTCTAAGCAGGCTTTATCTTCTTCATCATGGGAAACAGACAATCATTTTATTGGATCTGTAAAGAATTTATACCAAGCCCTAAATTTAAATAATTGTTTAATAAACCTTAATTCGTTCAGGAGGGAGGGACGGTCTTATTATAGCCATGGCTCCCCGGAGATTTTCTTCAGAAATAACGGTTCTGAAGTTTTTTTTCTTCCCTGAGTGCTATAATCGACAATCAATTAATTTACTGATATGTTATTCTTTCAGAATAAAAGATTGGAATGATATGGATTAATGAGCACCTTTCCTGTGTCACACTACACAGTTGATTGAGTAATGTCAGGATGCTCTATTATAACAGCTGGCCTTTGATCCTGATTTGTATCTTCTTCTTGTTTCCCCCCCTCTGCACTGCATATCCTGTTAACACCTTGTTGGGAAGTGTTTGTTTAATCAAGTAACACCCTTTGACCAGCTAATGCCAAATGTGCTTTAAGTTCTTTGAATATGCAATTGACAGGACATGACTGTATTATGTGAAGACAACCCCTTTTGGATGTGTACAGAATTTTGTTATAAGATCTGTGTTCTCCCCATTAAAATTAGGTGTAGTATTCTGCCATACACTTGTGTGAATGAGTACTGCCCTCCGAGCTCTTATTTCTGCTGTGTCCATTCCTTGTCTTCAGACCTGAGAGAAAACATTGCTGTCTGCTGAATTTAAACCACAACAGTTCTGTTGCAGATGTGATCTACCAATGTACTCCTTGCTCTTTTGGTATAACTATACCAATCAAAACGTTAAATGGCTCTATAGAATCAAACGACAAAGGATTCTTGCTATATTCTGGACTTCCAGGAAAGTAGTGCATGGACCAAAAAATTATAATTACTAAAGCAATCATGCTACTTTTTTCTCTGTATCAGAAATGTGTCAGTGACAATGTGTAATAAAATACAGATACTATAATTAATGGTATAATAAACACATAATGTGTTAATTACAAAGGTGGATAGACTTTGTGAATATCTGAAACGCAATTGAAGATTATTGCTAAAATGCCATATGCAGCTGCAGTCTGGCCTACAAACAAATATATTAGACATAAAGTATAAGAGCATAACAGCTAATTACCCAAATGAATAATGGAATCATGATAATTAAAGATTAAATGATTACGATAACTTCAATAATGAATGTTTCATCCTTAAAAGACAATGTAAAATGTTTTTATTAAATCAGAAACTATTCTATATTCGTTTAAGTTTGCAGAGTGGTATAATCAATTAATATAAGTGAAATACTTCAACAGTTAGAATTTAACTGAAAGACAGGCAGAAACTTTACTTCAACTATCATAAAGTTTATTTATAATGATAAAAATATTCAGTCTGCCAGAGCTAAGGCCAGTCAATGGAAAGTAAAAGAGTATTATGGATTAACCCGTCCAGGTGATATACATGATGATTTTGGAAATTGATAAGTTAGGTCACCTATTGCAAACTGGTGAAAAGATGTCAAATATATAAATTCAACATCCATACCACTCTATGTATATGTATATGTATGTATATGTATGTATATGTATGTATGTGTGTGTGTATATGTATGTATATATATATATATATATATATATACACGTAATCAAATATTTTATACGTTTTTCATATACAAAGAAAATGTTATTTGGTTTGTGATGGTTAAAGGTACATATACCTTGTGGTAAGGATCCTGCCACATCTATTGATTGTTTAATCAATACATCATGCATATGACTATTAATTCATATTCTGATTGTAACATACCCCCACTTCAACCAGTTATAGTTACAACAGATTCTGATTTATATTATGGAAGTGTTAAAACCTCTTAGACAAAGGTAGAGCTAAAATATAAATACCTTCAATATTGTAGCTGAGTGCTTTCTTAACTCACTTTTAGAAATAATAAAAAATTCTAATCATCTTAAGCTACACCCAACAGCCACTGAAAAATATACTTAAACAATTAAGATTCTCATTGTTAAGCAACCAATTTCACAAACGTAACTTTCCACAATGGCTGTCAGATCTTGGTAAAAAAAAAAAATGTTTTCCAAGACAATATTTGTGGGTTTCTGGTATTTTAAGCCACTAATAACTGTAGTTATTACATTTACTAATAATAACTAGGGAATAAGTTGTCTTCTCCCTAGCAGGTCAAAGAAAGATAATTAACATCATATTTCCAATTAGCAACTATTCTAAATATATTGGGAGATTTTGAATAAAGGAGTATTTTTAACATTTAAAGAGAATGTAATTTTACATACCATTGTGAACAAAGGCGGTAAATACTTTGCTGCTTCAAATTATCCTTATATATCTAAATTTATCTCTAATACAAACACTAGAAAGATTAACTTTGTTACTATTTCATCTATCATTATTATACAAAGTATAACAAATGTAAAGATTTTTCCACAGATTTTACCTGTTAACATTTTTAGCACAACAGCACCTGATGTCAGTGAGATGTCTATCACTGAGATGTTACTAAGATTCCAATACAGCAAAAAGAGGCGTTCTTGAGAATCCACTTCGATTGCTGTATCAACATAACATTTACTATAACGGGATCCATGTCACGTAAGACAATGTCTTGGAAATGCTGTCAATTAATTTATTACGTAAAAGAATATCGGAGAGTATCCAATCTATACACATCATAAACGGTGTAAAAATGTTTTATGGAAAAAACAAAATAAAAAGCAAACAAGCAAAGACAAAGTCAAATACCAACACCATCACCACGGTGATAACAGATAATGCTGATTCAATATCTGCAACCAATTCTAGTCAAATATTTGGAAAGCTGGACTCTACAACCTATACTCAACAACAAATACCCAGGTATTCTACAAACACAACCTCCAGCAATGTATCTAAGGAATGTAAACTTCTACAGGCCTTTAAGATTGGCTGGATTACAAATACAATTACTATTTTTAATTTTGGATTACAATTTGTATCTGGATCTATCCAAAAATATCTTACTCTGGTGTTCTTTTCAATTCTTTCCCAGACAAAAGCTTTGCTCATTTTAATCAACCAGCTTTACAGGCAAAGATCACATTACGGATATTTTACTGTTACAACAATGATCAAAGATGCTGGAAGCACAAAAACCTAAAGACTGTTGGAGAACTTTGGTTTACTAATTTCAGGAAGAATGGTCTACAATGCCCACAGTTTAATGGAGAGGGTGTTATGGGCAAATGCAAATATTACAAGTTTTAGAATGAAATGTTGTATTTCTTAAACTGTGTACTTTGTCTTTAAGAGATATTGCAAATTGACAAGGTGTTAGAAATGGAACATATTGTTTTTCATAACTGTTTCTTTAAGCAATAACCTCAGTGCATAATATGTTTGCGCCATTTTGTCCCAGACGAATTACAATAACAATAATGCATAAACAAGCTTCAAGGCTATTCTACGACACTTGCAGTACACAATATACTGTGGTAACCCCAAGTTAATGGAACTTCCCCAAATCCGGGAATCTCCCACGACTGTACACTTACGACTTAGTATAAACAACAGATAACCTATTCAGACTTTAAGATGCCATCTTGAACTAAGTCAGGAAAATTTCCGTGACGTTTGCACCCTTTAGTTATGGCCTTGTATGTTTGCCAAATTAAGGGAGGTCCTAAAATGAATAAAGTAAAAGGTGTTACTTTTTCACATATGAACTACGGTAACCTGAAAATGGAGACACCTAAGGTATAAATAGGTGTACTTTTAAATGTTAAGACAGAGGAGAGACTTGGAGACAGACGCTGCTCCATCTTAAAATGACAGAGTCTTACATGATGACATGTTCAGAAGGGTATGTTAACCTATTAATGATATTTGCAAGCATGTAATTTAATCTTGTAAACTCTGCTATAATGGATTTTATAATTATATTTTTATATAATAAATATCCAAAAAGACAAAACTATTGCTTCCAAGACAATCCTTATTTTATATTGTATTCTCAATTATTTATATGTTAAATAGAGGATCTCTTACACTATATAAAATTATGGCTAAGATATCTGTATGGTTAGCCCTACTAAGTTCTATGCTTTAAGACATTATAGTAGTAAATAAGGGAACCACATGCGGTTACACACCGAAATGAAAATTCTGGTCCGAAACCGAAAATTCAGGATGCCCTTGGCCGGAAACCGAAACCAAAAATGACTTTTTTCCCCAAATGATTTTTAAAAAGTTGTTTTTTTTTTTTCCTATAATTTTTTTAATGTTAGACTTTTTAATGAATTTAATTAAGCTAATATGAAAAACTTCCCTTCTCTTTTAGTGGTCCCCCCCTTCCCCGCTTAATGTTCCTCTCTCACCCCTCTAGTGTTCCTCTCCCCTCCCTCTTTTTTAGTGTTGTTTCCCTCCTCCTCTCCAGTTCCATAGTGTTCTTTTCTCCCCTCCCCTGTCCCAGTGTTTTTCCCCATCCCATAGTGTTCTTCCCCCCCCCTCTCCTGTCCCATAGTGTTCTCCCCCCCTCGCCTGTCCTATAGTATCCTCCCCTCCACTGTCTATTCAAACCACTCCCCTCCCGTCACATATTGTCTTCTTCTCCCCTTCCCCTGTCCAGCATATTCTCCCCGTCCCACTTATTGGTGCTTCCCCCTTCCATATTGTTCTCCCCCTCTGTCCCATATTGTTCTTCCCCCCCCTAAACTGTCCCATGGTGTTCTTTACCCCCCGTCCCAAAAAAAAGTAAAATTTAATTTTTATTTCAGCAAACTTGACCAGTTTTCGGCCGAAAATTTCGGTGCACCCCTAAACTATAGTGTTAGAAATACAGTTTGATATTCCTAGCACTATAGTTTTCCTTTAAAACAAAGTCTTTACCCTACTTCTAAATTTATATAGGGTCCAAAAAATCTATGCCAAAATGACATTTGAGTCTGTGTCTAACAACAGAAACTGAGGTAACTTTGTTTTTTGTGTTTTCTGCTCTGAAATCCACCATCTTATCACCCTGCTGTAGAATTGCAGTGATGTCATACAATGGGAAGCAGCAAGTGCTGTTATTTGTAGCTAAGTAACACAAATAGCATGACAAGGTGTCGGCAATATACTTTATGTCTTCAAAGTTAATATGCAGTTTAGACTTTATATGTATAGTGAAAAAAATATATAAAAGCCAAAATTTGTAAACTGGCTATGAAAAGCCAGATTGTGGTATCCAGCATGGAGAAAGTTCAATCACCTGTGAAGAAAGGTTGTATGGCATTAGGAAGGCAGTATCTTTATAATATAATGGTCTCTCTCGTGGGGCAGTCCATGATTCTTAATCACCGGAAGATAAAGGTTACGTCATATCTGCAGAATGTGTTCCAAAGCAGTCATATGGAAGTTTTCTGTAGAAGAAGGTAATCTCTTCTGTTTGTCTCTGGCACTGGAACCATCAGTAAAGGGAGTGTAAACTTGAGAGGATCACCTTGTTCTTCCCACAAGAAAACACAGAACAGAAGATTAAGGATAGTGGTAAACAAATTAATAAAAATGTAAACACTAAAACTAACTTGAAAAAAAAAAATAACATTCACAGTTTAGGTGATAAGGTCACAGTATAAGCAGTGTTTAGGTAATACGTTCACAGTGTAAGCAGTGTTTAGGAGATACGGTCACAGTATAAGCAGTGTTTAGGCGATACGATCACAGTATAAGCAGTGTGTAGGCGTTACAGTCACAGTGTAAGCAGTGTGTAGGCGTTACAGTCACAGTGTAAGCAGTGTTTAGGTGATACGGTCACAGTATAAGCAATTAGGGATGTGCATGGGGAAAAGTTTTGGTTCGGAACTTCGGAATATCGGCACTTCTCTTGCAGCCGCTTAGTTGATAACGCCCTAATTCCCATGGTATTAGGGAGTTATCTACCAAAAGAAAGAACTAAATTGGTCTTTCAGCCAAATTTACTAATCCTAAGTAAAAATTACTTAGTATTAGTAAATAGTGATGTCCCGAACGGTTCGCCACGAACTCATCATTGAGTAAACTTTGACCCTGTACCTCACAGTCAGCAGACACATTCCAGCCAATCAGCAGCAGACCCTCCCTCCCAGACCCTCCCGTTCGGGACATCACTATTAGTAAATTTTGCCCCTACTCGCTATACCGCCTGTGGCTGCTCACTGTTAAAAAAATTTAAAAAAAAAACAGGGCCCTAAGGTAAAATAAGGGGTGGGGGGACCTATTGGGAAAGCATGGGAAATTGGGAAATTCCCATGCTATGTAATTTGACTAATAACTTTCTGATTGGTTACTTTCAATCCACCAGAGTGTTGTTATGAGTCAAATTACACAGCGTGGGAAAATTCCAAAGAACTTTCCCACGCTGTGTAAAATGACACAGAGCACTCTGATTGGCTGGATTTCAAGTTAACCAACCATATTGCTGTGACAGGTAAATGTAGAGACTTACCTGACAGTCCCTTCATTTACCTGTCAGAGCACTCT